GAGAAAGGTATGGGAAAATGCAGAGACAAAATACATTTTCTCTGTATCTAGTAGGGAGGATCAAATTCAGATCCAAAGCCTCAACATTCAACTAGAGGAGTTCAACCTAGAATTGTATGTGGAGTCAACTTTGACAATTTAATAAGGACATTTTCAGAAATGGAAAGATTCAGAAAACATAAATCCCATATAAACTTTCTTAGTTGTGTACTTGGAGAATCTTTCCAGAAACATAAATAAACCAAAAAAAGAAACATGGCATTTAGGAATACTGAGCACAGTCAAGGATGTTGTAAAGAAAAATCCTATAGGAAAATCTTTGAAGACAAAACTCAATGCCTATCTGGTGGAATAAGGAGGCTGTAAAAAATAATACTAAATTAAAGGCTAATTATGCAAGAAATAAATGTGATAAGCAAGTGCAGGATTTACAAATCCTCTGGATGAACAAGTCTTGTTAATCCACTGATGAACAAGAAAAGAAATTTCATCAAATATTCAATTTGGCTTTGTGGTAAATATTTACGTAGCCAAAGTAATATTAACACTTTATGAGTTTGGAAGTTCCAATTATAGGAACAGTTACAATCTATCTTTACGTTGTAACATTAGAGATGACAGAAGTTATCAAATGGAAGTAAAGGAGGGAGTTTTTACTTTCACCTGGTAAAGTATCTTAGAGTTAACTGAACAAGAAATAATATTAATTTTGGTACATAAAGGTACAAAGCAGATAGCATGAGAAAGGAAGAGTTGGGGTACTATAAGTGGCAAAACCGCATTTATGGCAATTAGTCCATAAACTATGCCCATAATTATCTATATAATAAATGGAAAGAAGCATATTGTTTAGTGATATGAATTAAACACATTTTAACATGGAGAAGTGAGACTGGTGGGTTTGAAAGTGCATCTTTGCCATTCTTTATATATTGTCTTGTTAGATGTCATTTTTAATAATCATGTACTTGTGTACTTTTATAAATTTTTATAATTATTCAGGAAATTTTAAAACTAAAAATATATTAGAATTTTAAGTGGTAATTATTTTATAGTCTCTTTAGATCTGATGGAATAAACTTTAGATTTTATATTTACAAAAGAATTGTATTGGCATTCTTGCTTTTCAAAAACCTATTTGTCAGTGACTACTAAATATATCAAGTCATACTTTGCATACAGTATATTACTACAGCTATTAGAAAGTTTGCCATTTTACCATCTTTTGACTTTGACAACTTATACATTACTTGTAACATCTAGTTTATTTCATGGTCTGACTACCACTAGGTGTCTTTTTCAAAGAGTAGTTTACTATTTTTATTCACATCACATGGAAGTGATATTTTCATACATTCTTGCAAGTCTTCTTAGGTGTGGGAAAAACAGTCAAAAAGAAAAAGCTCCTGTTTTTAGTGTGTTGTATTCTAACAGAGATTACTACCCAATTTCTAAATTCACTGGCCACTGTTCAGCACCACTTTTCTTAGAATAGATTCCTTTTGACCACACCTCCTGTGAAACTTTATCCTTCTCTAGATTTTCTAATGTTTTTCTGGTTCTACTCTCCCATCTTGGTAGGTATTAACAGTACCCTTAACTTAATTAACCACTATGGCTCAGCTGCTTGTAAATCATAAGTTCCACTTTTTAGCCCCTTTCTCCTCATTTGACACATCCTCCCTTAGTGACTTCTCAATCAATGATGATGTATGTATTTTCTTCTCTGAGTGCCTGACCTACATAGAGGCATGAAAATGTGCTATGGGCATCTTAAACTTAACTTGCTGAAAACTAAATTTATTTTGTTTTCCCTATGCTCACTCAAGCATGCTTCCTTATGTCCTAAGATAACACAGTACTTGGCATATGGCAGCAATTATGAAATTTTTGTGTATGAAGGACCTGTTAAAACACATACTGCTGTGTCCCAAATCTAGAGTTTCTGATTCAGTAGGTCTGGAGTGGAGACTGTGAATGTGTATTTCTAAAGAATTCCCAAGTGATACTGGTGGTTTTGCAACCACACCTTGAGAACTATTGGCATACATTAATGTTTGTATGCCAATAGTTTTTATGCCAATAATAGCTTGTATGCCAACAAACATCATTTAATGTTTGCTTGGGCAATAATTACTATGCATTAATGAATGCTTAAAATAGTAATATAGGTTCAAAATTCCAACTTAATATGAATAAATGATAAGAAATATTCATAGAACTTTGAAATTTTAGTATGAAAGAACAAGGAAGATAATTTAGTCAAATATCCTCTGATTGTTGATTAATGAATGAGGTCTGGAAGGGTTAAATGACTTGTGTGAGGAAAAATAATTAGATTTGATCAACCCTGAGCTTCATAAAAAATCAAATAACTATATATGTAACATTTGTACTTAGCCACAAAAGCATTAATTTTCCAAATTCTAAGATGGAGATAGAGCAAATTATGTTGTCCCTAGATTAATAGACCTTTGCATACAAGCACTGATTTCCCAAAAATGAATAAAATACTACTAAGTTTTCATGCTGCTCCTCATACTTCTGAGATGCATAGAAAAGAAGGCAGAAATGGAGATCTCAATGTGTCGGTTAAGGTTTTAGATTCTCACCACTCCAAGTAGTGTTTGAGCAATCAGTGTGTTGCAGAAAGTAAACGAGATGACACCTACCTACTGGTCCTAAAGAAATAATCCTTTATTTTGCCAGAAATGACAGCCCTTCCATTTGTTGATGCATACCAGTAACTGACAAAATGTGGAAGTCCTGGTGTCTTAAGCTGTCTTACTGTTTTCCCAAATGTGAATATTTGAAAGAACTCAACACTACTCCACAGAGTATACACATATTTAGGCTTTTATTTAAGGGCAAAAAATACAATTTAGCAAGACAAAGAGAATAGAGACAAACATCAGAAATCCAAGAGCCTTTCCACAGCCTAAGTTTCCTGTGGGCCCAATCTTTGGATAATTGGAGTATGCTGACTCTCTGGCTTAAACTGTCCAGATCTGTGCAGAGTCTTGGTTTTGAGAAAACTCAACCACAAAGCTCTCATTGGCTTTTTAAATTGTCAAGCCAGACTAGTCCAAACCAGTTGCATTCACTGCAAATCATTAGTGCAGAAGATAACCTTAAAAGGTCTCCAATTGAGTTTCAGACTTTAAACTATACATCACATAGCCCACTGCCTTCATTTTCATCCAAGAGCAACAACAAGACATACAAACATCCCCAGAAATAAAGACAGACCTTTTTAATCCAGCTGCAAACCACTTTTATCCTACAAAGTGGTCTTTTTGAGAAAGCCATGGAAGCTTCATTTCTATGAACCAGCTATGTGAGAAGCCAAGTGGCCTGAATCCTAGGTCTCTGGAAGAGGGCCACTAAAGCATATTGAGGTTGGGTAGGCATACAGATTTTGAGCTCTCTGGGAAAAATTAATCTCATTCTCCTTATTTATTTATTGAAAGTCACTTACAAAATGGCAGTGATACCACTGGTGCCTAAATTCAAAATACTATCATAATCAAATTACTTCAGAGAGATGTACGTAGGCCTTCAGGATTTAAATAGTTTGGTGGAGTCTGGTTATCAAAGGAAGTCTCATGACAAAGCGGTATTTCCTTTGAGGGTACTGGTTCAAAAAGGAACGTTCAAACAACATTATTTTTTTTGCAAAATAAAAGTTTGTAGGAAAAAAATGAAGAAATGCAATATAATGGGTTGCTGTTTCTCATTAGATAGGTCTATTATCAATTACCAAGTACAATTACAGTAATTATGGGCAGAGTGAGGACACCTAGATCTAGTCAGAGTTGTGTTATCAGGAAATATGAAATACATTAAATGTGTTTTACCTAAGAAAATGATATTATTTTGATATCTTTATCCAGTTGTGTTACCAACTATTACAATTTGTACTCAATGCTATAATCTATACAATGAAGCAAAATTTTTAAAAACTAATTGATTTTTTTTTCAATGTGTGGTCTTGTAACCACTTGCATTCAAAACACCTAGGTATTGTTTCTCAAACTTTAAGGCATCATCTGGAAATGTTTTTAAGATGCAAATACTTATTCCATAGGCCTTGGATGAGGCTTGAAATTATTCTCTTCTAATAGGCACCCAGGAATATCCATGCTTATATGGTTCTGTTTGACCAGCAGGGATACAGTGATGTTACTTACAAAATCCGTGTGTGTGTGTGTGTGTGTGTGTGTGTGTGTGTGTGTGTGTGTAAACATAAATAGGCAGATATGTCAATAGAATCAATCTCTAGGATTAAGCCTAAAGATCAGCTTCCCAAAAAACCAAACCTCCCAGGTGTTAAGACAGTCACAGTTGTGGACTATTTGTTTAAATGAACTTCGGTGTATACGTTAACTTTCAGCTATACAGTAATGTGGATCTAGTCTCACCATGATATTCTTCTAAATCCTAAATTGGAGGCCTGCCATATTCTTAGTTCTCAGTAACGTACAGGGCATCTATGTTGCTGAAGTATGTGTGATTTGCAAACACCTGCCAAGCTTCCTGCCTGTAGATTTCAAATTTAATTAGATTCTGATCTTGCGCTAAAAAGCCTAAGATGAAACCTATTGTACTATCCATACTTAAGAGATTCTTCTTAAAAATCAAAAACCAAACAACTTCATACTTCTTTTAGAACTCGATTTCAAAAAATAGTATAACATTTTATTTTTACCCCATCACTGGCTTTTTTGTAGCTACTCCCTTAAATGGACTCTCCACTCCCTTTGTGCCTTTTCTCCACATTATCCTAGTTCTTTACAGGAAATGTTCACCTAAATAAAATGCCTTACACAGTATGTAACATGAAAGAGGTACATTAGACCCAAGTGCTTTAGTCCCTTCCTCTTAAAAGATATTTTTTGTAACTGAATATTCAAGTGTTATTGAATACAGCAACACAAAATAATATGATTTCTTATACAGCCTAACAATGCTTTTTAATTTTATTTTTCCCTTCCTTACAGTATAAGCAAGTGGAACAATACATGTCATTCCATAAGTTACCAGCTGATATGCGTCAGAAGATACATGATTACTATGAACACAGATACCAAGGCAAAATCTTTGATGAGGAAAATATTCTCAGTGAACTCAATGATCCTCTGAGAGAGGTAAGATTTATTGTCCTCAGTCTCCATATTACATGATTATGATCATTGTTTGTTTTCTCTTTTCATGGGGAATCTTCTAGTCCATGTTATGACACTACTGTAAAGAAAAACCTAAACTTAATATTAAGATATTTTTTTACCTCCTTTTGCTTTTTCCATATTTAAGCTCTTAATTGTTGAAAAAAGTATTGGATAATTACTCTTCTGTTTATGATTCTCAGAACTATTCTCTTTTCTGTATTTCTGGCTCTTTAATAAAAATTTCTTCTTGTGACCTCATCGTCCATATCTTCCCCATTTTTCTTTCCTTCATTCTCATCAAACTGATTCTTCTTTTAGATTTTTATTCTTCCTCCAATCTTCACTTTTCTAGATCATCTTATGGACCCTGACAGTAGAATGACTTGCTGTGAGCAGTTTATTTCCTATTATCTCATTAAAACACTTTGCAACACTAATAACCACCTCTTTGCTTTGCATCATTTTTCTGTTCCTCCCTAAAAATCTTCCTTTTTCCCACTAGAATATTCAGATTACCCTTAGACCAAAATAACTGCTTTTGATTATTCATATTTCTTGCACTGCTTTGCCCTCTCTTTCTTTTACTGCATAGTTATTGAATTGTGGTTTGGTCTTAACTTCTTGACCAAAGTTGTTCATTTGAAAGTTGTCAATGACCTGTCATCTTGAACTGTAGCTTCTTCTATAATCCCCGCATATCATGGGAGGGACCTAGTGAGAGCTAATTGAATCATGGGGTTGGTTACCCCCAGGCTGTGTTCTCACTAGTGAGTGAGTTCTCACGAGATCTCATTATTTTATAAGGGGCTCTTCTCTCTTTTGCTTGGCACTTTTCCTCGCTGCCACTAAATGAAGAAGGATGTGTTTGCTTCCCCTTCTGCAAAGACTGTAAGTTTCCTGAGGCCTCCTCAGCCATGCTGAACTGGGAGTCAACTACTACTCTTTCCTGTATAAATTACCCAGTCTTGAGTATGTCTTTATTAGCAGCATGAGAACAGACTATTATAGTAAATTGGTACAGGGTAGTTGGCACTGCTTCAAAGATATCTGAAATTGTGGAAGCAACTTTGGAACAGAGTAACAAGCGAGGCTGAAACAGTTTGGAGGGCTCAGAAGAAGACAGTGAAATGTGGGAAAGTTTGGAACTTCCTAGAGACTTGCTGAATGGCTTTGAACAAAATGCTGATAGTGCTATGGTCAATAAAGTCCAGACTGAGGTGTTCTCAGATGGGGATGAGCATCTGGTTGGGGACTGGAGCAAATGTGACTCTTGCTATTCTTTAGTAAAGAGACTGGTGGCATTTTGCCCCTGCCCTAGAGATATCTGTGGAACTTTGAAGTTGAGATAAATAATTTAGGGTATCTAGTGGGAAAAATTTATGAGCAGCAGAGTGTTCAAAAGTTGACAGAGCATAAAACTGAAAAATTTGCAGACTGACCGTGTAGTAGAAAAGAAAAAGCCTACTTTCTGGGAAGAAATTCAAGCCTTCTGCAGAAATTTGCATCAGTGACAAGGTGCCAAATGTTAATCACCAGGATAATGGAGAAAATATCTCCAGGTTATGTCAGAGACCTTCCCAGCAGCCCTTCCCATCACAGGCCTGGAGCTTTAGGAGGAAAAAACATGGTTCATGAGTTGGGCCCACTGGCTGCCTGCTGTGTGCAGCCTAGGGACTTAGTCCCCTGCATTTCAGCTGCTCCAGCCATCATCGATAAACAGGGCCAAGGTACAGCTCAGGTTGTGGCTTCAGAGGGTGCCAGCCCCAATCCTTGGGATCTTCCACATGGTGTTGAGCCTGTGGGGGCACAGAAGTCAAGAATTGAGGTTTGAGAACCTCCACCTAGATTTCAGAGGATGTATGGAAATGCCTAGATGTCCAGGCAGATGTTTGCTGCAGGGACAGGGCCCTCATACAGAACCTATGCTACGGCAGTGCAGAAGGGAAATGTGAAGTCAGAGCCACTGCAAAGAGTCCTACTGGGGCAGTGCCTAGTGGAACTGTGAGAAGAGAGCCACTGTCCTCCAGACCCCAGAATGGTAGTTCCACCGACATCTTGCACCCTACAACTGGAAAAGCCGCAGACACTCAATGAATGCCAACCCATGAAAGCAGCCAACAGATGGGCATATCCTGCAAAGCCACAGGGACAGAGCTGCCCAAGGCTATCTGAGCCCCTCTTGCATCAGCATGCACTGGATGTGAGACATGGAGTTAAAGGAGATAATTTTGGAGAGTTAAGATTTCACTGCCCTGCTTAATTTTGAACTTGCATAGGGCCTGTAGCTTCTTCATTTTGTTCAATTTCTCCTATGTGGAATGGCTGTATTTACCTGATGCCTGTACCCCCATTGTGTTAGGAAGTGAGTAACTTGCTTTTGAGTTTGCAGGCTCATAGGTAGAAGGAACTTACCTTGTCTCATGTGACTTTGGCTGGTGACTTTTTAGTTAATGCTGAAATGAGTTAAGACTTTGGGAGACTGTTGGAAAGGCATGATTGGTTTTAAAATGTGAGGACATGAGATTTGGGAGGGGCCAGTGATGGAATGATATGGTTTGGCTCTGTCCCCACCCAAATCATGTTGAATAGTAGCTCTCATAATTCGTACCTGTCATGGGAGGTACCTGGTAGGAGGTAATTGAGTCATGGAGGCAGTTACCCACGTCCTGCACTACTTGTGTTAGTGAGTGGTTTCTCACAAGATCTGATGGTTTTCACTCATCACTTCTCCTTGCTGCCACCTTGTGAAGAAGGACATATTTGCTTTCCCTTTTGCCATAATCGTAAGTTTCCTGAGGCTTCCCCAGCCATGCTGAACTGTGAGTCAAATAAAGCTCTTTTGTTTATAAATTATCTGGTCTCAGGTGTGTCTTTATTAGTAGTGTGAGAATGTACCCACATACCTGTTAATTATAAATACTCTGAGATGTTGGGACTACTTTTTATGCTGTTGACAAAACACAGATTCTTAATCTCTCTATATATGTATATCTTTTTTTATTTTTTGTCTTTTTGGCTTAACACTGCAACATTTCTGAGCCATTGAATTTTCAATCTGTATGTTTGAATTTGTTATCTTTTATTTATATTATCTCACATTTCAATTCTATAAATTTTTAGCTCTAAGTTCCTGCCTTAAACTTCATTTTCTTAAAAGCTAAATGATATCCCCTGCACCCACACATGTAGTAGGTAATACAATAAAGTCATTTATCTTCCATCATTAAACCATTTTGTCTCTTAAAGTCTCTCTGTACATTTTCTTAGTCATTCTCTCAAGTTATTTGGAATGTAAAACTTTAGTCCAATTTTGCAGCTTTTCTTTTTCTGCTCTGTACATCCAATCACCAAATGCTGTCAATAACTTTAGCAATACATCTCACACTCATGCCTTTGCTTCCTTTCCCACTGTCATTGTCCTAAACTAAAGCTTCTCATAGAATACTTTCACTGTCCCCTTAGTTTGCCTTCCAGCTTTTGGTCTGATTTATCTTACTACCTTTTAAAATGCCACTGCCAGATTAATCTTTTGTTTACATGAGTTACTCATTTCTCTGCTCAGAAACTTTCAGTCTTTGCATTATAAATTGAGTCAAGTATAGACTCCCTAAGCTCATCTTCCAGTCCTTTTATACTCTGACTCCAGCTATATCTCCAGCTTTCCTTTCTCCCACTGCCATGTCTGTTGCAAAGTGGCCTACAACAAAGTTGTGTAACTTGCTGTTTTGAAAAAAATCAATTATAATTTCTCACCTTTACAACATGTATTGCAGAAATGTCTCTCCTCTCTTGGAAAAATTAAATTCAAATAATACCTATTTATTTCTATATATCTTATTTGATCAGATATGAGACTGGATCTTATATCTCCTTTCTCTGGCCCTCAGTGTACTTAGTCCATAACATAAGAGTGCTACTTATTCATTCTACCTATGTTATTATTTTCTTCACATTTGTTTTCTCCACTTTTGTCTTAAAATTCTGTCTCCTATGTACAAAGAACATTTATTTAGTCTATATTTTCAAATTTTGTTAAAATTTTTAGTACATTTATTATAAATTAAATAACAAATATTGTTATTCCAACTAATATCTTCACAATTTATATCTAAATTTCTGTACCCACTAAAAGTTTTTTACATTTTTTTGAATGGACATAAGATAACTGCTAAGGGTTTTTAAAATATGAGGCTAAATATCTCCTATTGGTTAGTTTATTTTGTTGCTACAAATTTCTTAATCAAATTAGAATGTATAAATCTTTTTGCTTTGGGAAACATAATTCAATTTTTTATATTTTGGTGAAAGAAAGAAATAGGCCAGGACCAGTGGCTCATGCCTGGCTGTAATCCTAGCGCTTTGGGAGGCCAAAGCTGGTGATCACCTGTGATCAGGAGTTTGAGACCAGTCTGTCCAACACAGCAAACTTCGTCTCTACTGAAAATACAAAAGGATTAGCCTGGTGTGGGGGTATGCACCTGTTATCCCAGCTACCTGGGAGGCAGAGGCAGGAGAATTGCTTGAACTTCGGGGTCAGAGGTTGCAGTGAGCCGAGATCACACCACTGCACTCCAGCCTGAGTAACAGAACAAGACTCTATCTCAAAAAAAAAAAAAGGAAATAAATATATGAGAGAATTCCAAAAAGATCATAGAAAATGGAATTAAAAGATAAATATAAAAATATTAACTTTATTTCTCCACATAAGCTCCATAATCTCCATCGAGTTCAAGACACTTTTATAAGCAATGATACCAGCTATGTTGTTCATCCCTAAAGAATTGAGGGTCCTGGGAATTTAACCATGTCAATGCAGTCTGTTTCACATTATTAATTGAAGAAAAATGGGTGCCCTTTACAGATTTTTTTAATATTAGGAAACAAAAATAAGTCAAACAGAGCCAAACTGAGACCATAAGATAGATGCCTAATGATGTCTCATCAAAACTCTCACAAAATTGCCCTTGTTTGAGGAGCAG